TTGGTAAATATGTTATTATCCACACCAGAAGTATATTTATATGTATGTCTTCCTGTCTATAAGAGTTTCCCACAATCTTTAGTCTCTGATGTGAGGGGAAAACACATTCTTTTTGTAACTAATTCTGCTGCCTTTTCCTCCCCTTTCAAAGTCATCAAAGCAAGGAGCTCTCTGAAGTGCCTTGTAATGAGCTTATTGTTTGGGCAAAGGTACCTTGACATTCCCATTTCTAATCAATAGCTAGCTTTCAAAGCATTGTTAGTTTCGAGTGGCTCTAATTGGATCTCTGAATGCATTCTGGACTGATCTGAGGCTTGAAAGACAGGCATGCTCCCATTTCTGCATTTGGTGGAGTTGCTAACTTCTTACAAAATCCAAAGTAGAAGTTCAGAGTGTACCCAACCAGCTGGGGAAGTGGTCAGTCAAATAGAGTTTGGAGTCTTAAAAGCCCAAGATGAAGATAACAGAAGAGTCCCCTAGATATAGAGAGAAAATGAGTGACTTGAACAAAGGTCAACAGCCCAGCATGCCTGTCCTAGGAATCACTCACCAAGATACTGATTATTATGGAGTCAAACAAGCCTGGATTCCAACTTCAGTTTCCTTACTGACAAGCTCTGAACCTCAGTTTCTCATTCATAAAATGAAGATAATGGTGTCAACTGCATCCGGTCTTCATGAAGGTTACATCAGGAGATATTAGGGTTTCCTCCATTACTACATCATTCAGCGTGGCTCTTCCTCATTACTAGTGCCATCATCTTTGCTTGGACCACTGCCCTTTTCTGTGGATCTTCTTCATTCTTGTCAGTCACTTCTTTTCCTCCTTCAAAATGGACTTTTCCCACAAGAGATCTCATAACAGGCTCATCGTTGTTTTTTTTTTTTTAATTTTTAACTTAAAAATTACAGCTGACATTCAATATTATATTAGTTTCAGGCTTACATCATCATTTCTTAATTCCATATTCTTCTAGAGCAAGTTCAGCTTATCTATTAACCTACCTGATTTATAATACATTTTTCTGTACTAACTAATGAGTGGCATTTATGGATTTGTAACTGCCTTTTATTTTCATGATTTATGCTTAGGCGTAAATGGTAAATTCCTTGAGGACAACAACTGTGTCTTCTACTTTTCTGTTTGTGTTTTCTATCCTTATGTATCCATTATACTCGTGTGTACACGGTAGATGTTCCCTAATAGAAAGAAGTAGGGCCTCCTAATCCCCACTACCGTTTTAGGGAGAACATACATGAGCATCCTAGACGGGTAATAGGCTGCCTCTAGTGGACCCAACAGAGGATAAAAATGAATTATACATTCGATTTGCACTTTACAGCTTGTGTTTTAATCCTCTTAACAACCTTACGAGGTAGGTGATCTTAATTTTCACTTTATAGATGAGAAAACTAAAATTTAGAGAAGTCGTGTGACTTACCCAAGGCCACACAGGTTGAAGGTTATAAAGACAAGTATTCAGGCACAGATCTGCCAACTCCAGGCCTAGTGCTCTTTCTATTGGCCAGAGGTGCTGTGCACTGGGTCATGGGAGTATATTTTTCTGACAGCATTACTGAAGCTTGTTTGACTGTGGCTCAGCACCAATATATTTAGAGTGGATTGATTTGGTCAAATGGCAGGATTAGGAGAAAAAAGACTAGTTGAATATAAAAGTATGGACTTAGTGTGTATGTGAATATATACATAACATATATATTTACATATATATGAATACATCACTATAAGTACGCTATATTTGTATGAGAGTGTTACATTCAAGATTGACTGAAAATGCTAACTTGGTAGTCTACTAAACAGATGTTAAATAATCAGGTTCTGTGGTGTATTTTCCTCCCTCCCTTTTCTTCCAAGCTATTTTCCAACTTTCACTTTTGTGAACAAAAAAAGTGAATCATGTTATCCAAAGAAATATATTTTACTTTGTTCTCTTCAAAATAGAGATGTTTGAGGAGTACAGAGCTCTAAAGGTGAGAGTAGAAAAGTGATTTTACCAGTTGGCCCAGGACCCAGATCAGGTGCCCTGATCAGGCCCTGCCACCTCTGCTCCGACCCCAGGCCTTTGGTGCCTCCAGAGTGGATACCGCAGTTCCCCAGGTTCCCTGCTGGCAAGAGCCTGAAAGTGGCCAAAAGGAGAGCCAGGCTTAATTTGATAGATCTAATGGATCGGCCTAATTCCAAAGCTACCGCACATCCACTAAACAGCTAAGAACATAGGCAGCCAAGAAATGATCAGGGTTCTTAGGCACAACTTGGTTTAACAGTGCTGCAGGGTCACTGCTGTAGAAGGTATGATGCTTCTAATTTCTCCCTTCCTCTCCCCCTTCCTCTGCTGAAGGATATTGGACTGATGTTGATCTAAATTTGAGCTTCAGCTCTTGAACCACCATTGTGTCCTGAGAAGGGACTATAGCTTTGGAGTAAAAAAATCTCCAGGTTCAAATCTTAACTGTGTGATCACAGGTGAGCTACTTTACTACTAAAGCTCTAGAGTTGTAGATCTGTAAAGTGAGAATAATAACTACTGTGTACTGAGTGCTACTGTGAAGATTTACTAAGTGTTTAAAAGCTTTTTCATAGAAAAGATTTGGTCCCTGTTAGCCCCATTTGCTTCTCCCAGTACACACCCTTATCACTGCTCTGAAGACTGTCAGACCGAGGAGGGTCTGGGTTCAGTGCAGTACAATCCAAACCAAGGTCGTGCAGCTGCAGAAGCACCCTCATCCAAACGACACCAGCACTGCATAAGTAGTTCTTATTTGACACTGATCCGATCTTTACCAGAGATTTGTATTGAACAAGACCACAGTTTAAGAGGAGAAATAAAGAGGAAGAAAGGCAAAATTAAGAAATCATTATAAAGGAGAACTTCTGAGGGGATCTTAAAGAAATAGTCTTTCACTTGGAGAAAAGAAGATTGAAAGTGAGTCTAACAACCCTTCAAGACCATGGGTAGGAGAGAATAAACAGGGTAATAGCCCTAGTTGCTAAGGCCAGAGAAAGAGGAAAGGAGATGAATTTGCATTAGAGAGGGAGGAAGAAGGAAAGATTGAACTTGAGGCAAAACTTGTATAGAAAATGAGTATCTTTTATACCCATTTTCTATACAGGTTTTGAACTCTACAGGATTTTCTCTTTTGGAACTCCATCAAAACAGGGATCTCCTGTCTGTGTGGACTGGACGAGGTACTGAGCTGGCTGCATGGTCTGTCCCAGAAATCTGAGGGGAGGGGGATATTGCAGGGATCATTCTTAAACCCTGGAAAACGTAAGTGAAAGCACTCTGAAAGCTTTCAAGGAAAAGAAGCAACATTAGCGTGATCTGTGCGTCCGAGACATAGAATCTGAATGCTAATGTGAGGATGAATGAGGCGTGGGAGGAAATATGGGCAAAGGGGAAGGAAAAGAAACAATCCATTTTGTTTCCCAGTGACACATGCCACCCCACTCCTGGTGGAGCTGCCCTGAATTCCCTGCTGTGAGCCCCAGTCCTTTTCTGTAAGATGAGGTGCTTGGGCTAAACCTTATCTTGAGTGAGTCCCTCCCCATTCTGAACTTGTGTTCACAAAATTGATCTAGAGAAAACGTGAGTCCATCTGCGAAAAGCCATCTTAGCCCCAAACCTGAGCTGTACTGAGTGGGTGCTTTGCAGAGAGGGGGCCAAAATATGTGCTCTGATGTCCCCCAAACCGCACCGTCACTGGAATCCCCAGGGGCAGGTTGCTTGTCCCCTCTGAAATTCAAAATCGTCACTTGTAACGTGGGGATATTAGCTCATTTGGGGGGGGTGAGTTTAAATTAAATATTGCAAGTAATAATATCTAATAGTTTCCATGTATCGGGCACATAAGCACCTATTGTATCAATATTCTTGGAATGAGAATTTTTAAACCTTTTAATTGCTCAGCCTTTTATTTCTATTGCTATTGACTTTGTAGAATATACACAACTAAATCATATATGTAGTTTGTTGTGTGGTGTGTGTGTGTTTTACACACTTGCCTTTTCTTGTTTTAGCAGAATGAAACCTAATTCATTCAGCTTTCCTGAATGGCATATTAAAATAAACACACAACCCATGTTTACTTCTCCAGCTGCCTCTACATATTCTCTGTCCTTGTTAATTTGTAAAGTAGAAGGAAGAGAGTAATTATTTAGCAGCTCCAGTAATTACTTAGTGGCATATTTGTATGCCACTGGCTTTTTTTTTTTTTTTTTTTTTTTTTTTTTTGCATTCTTAGCAAGCCCCCTGCGTTGCCCCTCTTTATGGTGGCCAGTCGGGGTTTCTTTGGTATTCTGTTGATGTCACCATGTTGGCTGCACTTCTCTACACCTTGGCTATCCCCTTGCAATTTCATCTTGCTTCTTTTCACAGCGTTCCGTTCCCAGCTTCACAAACGGCGGCTGAGAGGGCGCGTCTCCTGCGCCAGGGTGGGGCACCAGGTTACCAGCGGCCTCCTGCCTTTTGGGTTTACTTCCCCGCAGGGGACACCGTAGGCGGCTGTGCGGTCCGGCCACTGCCCCCCGCCCCTCGCGTCCGGCCGCGCCGTGGGTTGCGGTCGCTGTGGGGGTGGCAGCTCCTGTCCGGGAGGTTTGCTCCTGGCGGGGCACCCCGGAGCCGCGGGGAGCCCAGAGGCGAGGCCAAGGCGGGGTGGGGCGCGTCCGGGCGGGGAGGGCAAACTCAGGCAGCGCAGGGGGCGCTGAGGGCAGCGGGCGGGCTGGTGGACTCGCGGTGGCGGAGCGAGCGGGACGAGGGCTGGCTGGTGCCGGGGGCCGCCCGCCGGAGGGGGAGGAGGCTGCGCTGCCCTTGTTGCAGGTTCGCTGTCGAGCACACAGGAGGCAGGGACATGGGCAGGGTGCGGTCTGCGCGGGGCCCGCGCCCGGATCTCTTCCATTTCCCCTCTCACTCGGCCCCGGGCTGCGCCGCAGACAGCAGCAGCTCCCGCTCCGCCCGAGCCGCCTGACCGCCGGGCCGGGGTGCTAACCGCGGGGCCCGCCAACCCGCCGGCCCGGCCAGCCCAGCCCAGCCCGGCGGCCCGCAGCCCCGCCGTCCGCCGCCCCCCGCCGCCGCCGCGTTGCCAAAACAAACGGGCCGGCCTATTTATTGGCGGCGGGCGAGCCGGGCAGCTCAGAGTCGAGGCGCCGAGGGGGACAGCGCGCCGCCACCAGCCAGGGCCCCGGGCCCCCGCCCCGCACCTGAGTCCCGCCGGCCCTGCGCCACGCCGCGCAGCCCATGGCGCCCCCACCTGGAGCCCCCCGAAGCCACCCCGACGCCTGAGCCCCCTCAGGGCCCGGGTCCACTAGCCCACCCATCAGCCCACCAAGCGCCCTCGCCCGCCGCTCTCCCGGGCTCCCGGCCATGTCTCCCGCCCGGCTCCGGCCCCGACTGCGGTTCTGCCTGCTGCTGCTGCTGCTGCTGCTGCTGGTGCCGGCGGCGCGGGGCTGCGGGCCGGGCCGGGTGGTGGGCAGCCGCAGGCGGCCGCCGCGCAAGCTGGTGCCGCTCGCCTATAAGCAATTCAGCCCCAACGTGCCCGAGAAGACCCTGGGCGCCAGCGGGCGCTATGAAGGCAAGATCGCGCGCAGCTCGGAGCGCTTCAAGGAGCTCACCCCCAATTACAATCCCGACATCATCTTCAAGGACGAGGAGAACACGGGCGCCGACCGCCTCATGACCCAGGTGAGCGCGACCCGCCCTTCCAGGGCGCCGCTGCCGAAGCACCGCCACCTGCCCGGCCCTATCCGCCCTCCCTGGCACTTTTGCTCCACTGGTTGGCACGCCCCCTGGCACCTGCCCCTCTCGCCAAACCCAGCTGCTTCTTGCCCAGGATGGGACAGCCAGGGGTCCCGGCAGGCGTGTCGGCATCCCCGATCGATCGTGCCGATGGCTATGAGAAGAGCTCCCTGCCGCCGAGCGCCACAACCCAGCGGGTTGGCCACGGCCCCTCCGCCCCGGCGCGCTGGCAGCTCGGGTCATTCGCGGCATCCGGCACCCGGAGGCACCTCGATCTGGCTGCCTCCTGCGCTACCGGGATCCACGCGGTACCTCCTGGCCTAACCCTCCGCACGGCTGCGCCTCTTTCACTTAGAAGCCATTCGGCACCCCGAGGCGAAGCAGCTCGAGGTGCAGAGGGCCCCACAGCCTTTGCTCCACGCGCGGTCGCTGTGGGGGTGGCAGCTCCTGTCCGGGAGGTTTGCGCCTGGCGGGTTTGATGCGCTGCCCCCGGTGGGGTCTGGGGTTAAGGAACAGCGAGGAAGGGGAAGGTGGGAAAGAGAACTTGCGTGAGAGACCACGTGTCTGTGCAGAGAGCTGAGAGGCGTCCCTGCTTAGAAGGGTGGGGGACGGGGGCCTTTGAGCGCTGGGGCCGAACTTGGGGGACCCCTGGGCTTGATGGCGGGGATGGGTTGGGTTGAAAGGGAGGGGTTCGGGTGCCGGCGAGGCAGAGAGCAGAGCTAAAGTTAGTCTTTGCATGCAGGGACCAGCGCTCAGCACAAGCGCTGAGGAGTGGAGGGCGGGGTGGGGGTGGGGGTGGGGGTGGGGGGCGCATGGGGGGGGAATTGGGGGGAGACACAAGCTTTCTTCACTGCAACCAGGTCCGCAGAGGAAGAGACCTACGTCCCCTTCCTCAGCGGCCCACCCATGCGCCCCCCCCACCCCCCCAAGCAGGCAGCCCACGTTCTAAGTTCTTTAGGAAAAGCAGCTAGACCAGGGCCCTCGGCATGCGCCCTGGCGCCGGGGCTGGCCGGCCAGTGTCGGGGCGAAGGTTGGCTGGTGGCCGGGCCGGGCTGGGCGCAGTGGAATGCAGATAAGAATCCGGGCCACGGGCTGGGCAATCATTGACAGCGCGCGCCCCGGCTCTGGACCCGAGGGGGCGGGGAGAGAGGCGGGGAGCAGGGGCCCCCAGAGAACATAGGTGGGGGGCTAGAAGCCTGGAGGCAAGAGCACACGGAGCTCCCTCCTGGGGCAGTGAGCGCCCCAGCTAGCTTGCCCGCCAGGGAGGACTACGGGCCTTGGGCTGTAAACGTTGTTGGCTCCTGGGAGACAGAGTCCAAGGGTCTGTGGGGCTGGGCTCTGCCGGGCGGGGGTAGGTTGAGACAGGGGCTACCCACGCCTGGCGGCACCTCGAACTTCAGAGTCAAGGACTGTGGAAGGGCCCCCTCTCTTGCCGGCCCCTCCCCCCAGTCAACTGCAGGGTCCCTTGGGCTGCAGGCACGTGGGGAGTCAGCACAGACAGGTGATCTCTCCCGTCCTTCCCGCGGGCGCGGCTCTACTCCCACCCCGTGTGAGGCGGAGCGTGGAGGCGGCTCCCTGAGATTAGAAGTTCGATTTCTGAAGTCCCTTCCCAGATGGGAGCAGCGCAGAGGCGCGGAGGACTCTGGGCTCGGGGGACATTACCTAAGACGATCAACCCTGCGGAGACCCTTGTAGCGGGAGACTCTCCAAATCGCCCTTAATAGGGCCAGGCCGGGCACTAGTCCTTCCACCAACTTCTGGGGACAGGGCTGCCCTGCCTCGGCAGGGGTGCGGGCAAGTTTTGGACATAAGAGGGTCCCAGCAGGAATGCTTTGTGGTGCCCGAGGGATCCAGGTAGGCCAGGGATTCCCTTCCAGTACACCCCCATGCTGCTGGGTCTCCGCACCTGCCGTGCCTCCGGGGCTCGTGTCCCCGGGCCTCAGCCCTGAGGCTACGGTGACACCTACTGGGCATCTCTGGCCTTGCACGCCTAGTAGGCCCGCCGCAGGCCGCTCCCGCCCCTCGAGGTAGCAGGCGTCCCGTGAAACAGAGGGACTGGGCGTTGGAAAGGTGTAGGCTGCGGAGGAATTGGTACCCGAGCGAGGCAGAGAAGGGAGGGGCCACTTAACCGAGACAGGGCTTGCCATGCGCTTCAGATTTTCCGCGTCACTGTGCGGTCCAGGTCCGTGGGGCAGCCGCTGCTATAACGGAAGTAAGTTAGGGCTCTGTGTTCCGAAGCGAGAGGAAAAGAGCCCCCTTCCCGGTTTCCCAACTCCAGCGGTTGGGCTGGGAGAGCGAGGCTAGGACTCCACCTGCACGCGGGCCAGCTCCTCCCCCTAACTCGGCGCTTTCCTCTCGCAGCGTTGCAAGGACCGCCTGAACTCCCTGGCCATCTCGGTGATGAACCAGTGGCCCGGCGTGAAGCTGCGGGTGACCGAGGGCTGGGACGAAGACGGGCACCATTCGGAGGAGTCGCTGCACTACGAAGGCCGCGCAGTGGACATCACCACGTCGGACCGCGACCGCAATAAGTACGGACTGCTGGCGCGGTTGGCAGTGGAGGCCGGCTTCGACTGGGTGTATTATGAGTCCAAGGCCCACGTGCATTGCTCCGTCAAGTCCGGTGAGCCGCTGCCGGGGGACTGGGCCCGGGGCCGGGGCCGCAGGGCGTGGGCAGGCGGCGCAGGGCCCTCTGGGGCCGAGAAGAAAAGACCCGCCCGGGGATGGAGGCGGGAACCCCGGGAAAGAGGACGTCGGCGGCACTCCCCGCTTCCTCTTGTGACCGCCTGCTCCTCCGGCGCCTGGTAGCGTCAATGTTGGGAGCCTAGTGAGACAGGGCCCGTCCCGGTGCTGCTGGGTGCTGACCTTGAGGTCCACAGTCAGCGGTTCTCAACCTGTGGGTCGCGAACAATGAAAATACATCCTGCATATCAGATATTTACAGTACGATTCATAACAGTAGCAAAATTACAGTTATGAAGTAGCAACGAAAATAATTTTATGGTTGGGGGTCACCACAACATGAGGAACTGTATTAAAGGGTCGCGGCACTAGGAAGGTTGAGAACCACTGGAAGCCTGCTGCAGGAGGTTCAAGACAGCGAGCTGAGCGGATGTGGAAGCCAGGCTGTGACAGACACAGTCTCCCCACCCAGTCTGGTGCAGAATGAGGCGGGTGGGGTGGGGGCAGGGGCCAGGGCTGCCCAGACATCAGCAAGTCTGACCAGGAGCCAGGAGCCCAGAGGTTCAGAACCGACAACGGGGCTGCAGGCCAGACCCTTTAGGGCACTAGGTGTGCTCCTCCCAGGGGGTGCAGGCATCCCCACCTCTTCCTCAGGCCCTGAAACTGGGCATTTGGGGGCAAAGCCAACCACGAGGGCCAGAATAAACAGAATGGACTCAATAAAGTGTATTTTCCCAAATTTGCCGCCTTGTTGATCCGAATTGGCAGGCACTGGGGCCTTGCCCCTCTCTCAAATCTTGTCAGCATCCCTGTCACCACACTGAATCCAGTCATGGATGTTTCAAATGTTTCCTGTGGGACTGCCAGCCTGGCCCCAGGGCTGCAGGCTCAGCCCGCCATGCTGGTACCAGGCATAGTCACATGCACAGACCCTGCACACGGAGACCAGGCCCCTTTTTACTATTCCTGATCCCACCTGGGCCCACAGGGGTGACCCCACCCCCACTCCCACACTGCCCTTCTCCTCAGCACTTTCCTGCCAATGGTATCTGTTTCAAGTCACATCCACTCTCACCTGCAAACACTGGCCCGGTGCCAGCTCCCAGAGAGGCCACTTTCATTCCTTATTCCTGACCCCCAAACACTGTTCTCCATCCCACGCACTGATGCCACTGTGTCCTGTTCCTGCACAAGGACCCAGCACATGAATTGAGACAGTGATTTTACCATTGCCACTGAGCCAGGCTTCCCTGGAGTCTATATTCACCCCACGGCTGGCCTTCCTTTCACTTCCATTTGGACTCCAAGGGCCAGCTCTGGCACAGGACTTGGCATGTCAGTCTGAGAGGGCACCATTGGGGGAGTGAGAAATAATGGCACATTTAGACCCCAGAGGAGCTAAGTGACTCGCCTTCTCCACGAGGCTGCAGCTTTCTGGGTGTCAATCACAGCTGATCACTGCCTGGCTCAGCTGACCTCTGACCTCTCTGACTGCTGCACAACATTGTCAGGATTGAAAACAGATGGGGACTTCGCCTGGGCGTCAGGATGGCCTCTTCCTTCTCCCTCACTGGAGCCACAATATGCCCCTCTCACTGGCAAAGGATCAGACTGGGGAGAAGGGCAGAGATCACATTGTGGGTTGGAGTGGGTTCAAGGCTGCATGAGAAGTGGGGATAGGAACCAAGATATGGTGATGGGGGCTCTTTGGGAGCAAGAGGGAGCACTGGCTGGGCTTGGGACGGGTGCTATGACTGGGGATTGAGCTCCACAGCAGTAACACCTTCATGTCCCTTCTTCCCACAGAGCACTCGGCTGCAGCCAAGACAGGTGGCTGCTTCCCTGCTGGAGCCCAGGTGCGCCTGGAGAGTGGGGCACGTGTAGCTTTGTCAGCCGTGAGGCCAGGAGACCGGGTGCTGGCCATGGGGGAGGATGGGAACCCCACCTTCAGTGATGTGCTCATTTTCCTGGATCGTGAGCCAGATAAGCTGAGGGCCTTCCAGGTCATCGAGACCCAGGACCCCCCGAGACGCCTGGCACTCACACCTGCCCATCTGCTCTTCACTGCCAACAATCACACAGAACCAGCGGCTCACTTCCGGGCCACATTTGCCAGTCAAGTGCAGCCTGGCCAGTATGTGTTGGTGGCTGGGGTGCCAGGCCTGCAGCCTGCCCGAGTGGCAGCTGTCTCCACACATATTGCCCTTGGGGCCTATGCCCCACTAACGAGGCACGGGACGCTGGTGGTAGAGGATGTGGTGGCCTCCTGCTTCGCGGCCGTGGCTGACCACCGCCTGGCTCACTTGGCCTTCTGGCCCTTTCGACTGTTTCACAGCTTGACGTGGGGCAGCTGGACCCCGGGGGAGGGTGTGCACTGGTACCCCCAGCTGCTCTACCGCCTGGGACAGCTCTTGTTGGAAGAGAGCAGCTTTCACTCACTGGGCATGGCTGGGCCAGGGAGCTGAAAAGATTCCTCCACTGTCCTCCCGGAACTGCCCAACTGGATCCAAAGACCTCCCTACCTGGAGGGCATTGGCCCTGGAAGAGACCCGAGCAGGGGGTAATGGATCCCACCATTGCCGCACCCTACAGAGATATACCATTGAGACTTGACTGGGCAATGCCAAAGTCCTCCACCACCATCTTGGTGTAGTGACAGAGCTGCAAGCTGAGCTGGCAAAAGGGTGGTCTGTCCTTCTAACTATAGACCTCTAGACTGGCACAGTGGCTCCCAACCCAGCCAGCTCTCACTACGATTTTTCATACCTGCCTCCCCCAATGGGGAGAGCCCATTCTATCTGTCTTAGGCCCCCCTTTGGTGGGCTTGCACCTCAGTTGATGCTGCTAGATTCCCTGGGAGCCAGCAGGGAGCTGGCTGGACTCAATGCTGCCTGGAACTGAGAAGGCTGCAGGGTGGGGCAGCCATCCTGGCCATCCTGAGACATGTCCTTCCTCCCTGGCCACACTCCTTGGGACACATCCAGAGACTGTTGCTGTCAGTGGGCAGAGTTCTGTGTTCCAGCCAATGTGACCGTAGAGCCCGGGACAGGGGAGTGGGCTGGATGTCCTTCCCATCCCTGTCAGGCTAAGTTCCCTCTTCTGCTGAACCCCCGCCCCCTCCTCTGGTCAGTCTTCCCCACCTTATTTATTGGCGCCAAGGGGGAAGCCCATGGGAGATTTGAGGGATGTTTTGGTGTTTTCTTCCTTTTGTAATAAAAATTATTTAAGTTGTTAGAGCCATAGAGTCCAGAATGCTGAGTGGATTCAATACTTGGATAGTCCGGAGTCAGGGATGTGCTACTTTCCTCTGAGGACAAAACCTCCAGTACTCCACCCCCTCTGCAGGCCTGTTCTCATCAAAGCTCTGCAAAGTCCCAAAAGAAAGCTGTGTTCATACCAGGGCAGGCCTTAGCATGCTGACCCCAAGGTTGGACCAGAGAGAGAGAGGGGAGGTAACTAGTTCATGGTCACTTCACTCATCTAGACCACCACCTCTAGTTACGGTGCTTTCCCTGCTGACTCAAGTCTTTCTTGGGGCCTGGGTTTCTGATTCTTCATTGTGATCATGGGCCATGGCATGAAATTATTCTGGAGACATCACGTCTGCCTTCTGACTTCTTGGATAAATCAGAGGTCCCTAACCTGCAAGTTCTAAAACCTCAGAATCACCTAGGCAGCTTGTTAAAAATTATTCTTGGCCCTACTTCCAAGATTTTGCTTTAATAAATCCAGAGTGAGGGCCCCGGTACACTTAATTTTATAAGCACTCCAAACACGGCAGATGGCCCATGGATCACACTTTGAGAGACGTTACTTAGTCTAGAGAAGGCCCCGTTTATTGCCAAAACAGAATGATACTTTTGCCAGCCCCGCCCAAAAGAACAATCTCGGGGTGAAGGTGGGGCCCTGTGCTCACTACAGGTTAGCTGATTCCCAGGCTCAATAGTACAATTATTAGATTTTCAGGAACTTCATGAGCCAGTTGATATAGACCATGGTAGGACTATTTATACCATGGAAATTTGTGTATGCTACAAATTGGGTTCCTCACACTGTGGAGAGCTGGTTGTTAGAGCAAACCACTGCCAAGGTTCTAACCTCCTACAGAGATTACTGTGCTGGGGTGACTGCTCAGATTTTTATCTTACCAATCCCCATCTCCATGGAAGAAAACTCCAGAGAAAACTTCATTCCCCTGGGGAACTGTGTCATCTGGGGGAATAGGCCCCCACAAGGCTATAATGAATAAAAGCTGCTATCATTTAATGAAGATTCCCCATTGCCAGGCTTTGTTTTAAGTGCTTTACAGGAAGCACCCATTTAATTTTCATAACAGCCTACTGTGGTATATACTATAATATTACCATTTTTCCAAATGAGAACACAGAAGCACAGGGAGGTTAGTAACTTGCTCAAGATGTTACAACAAGTGATAAGCAGGATTTGAATCTATGCAACTTGGGGTGAAGGTGGAGACCTGCAGCTTTTCTGGGAATCCTGGACTCAGGTGTGAGGAAACTGCGTGAGCAGGGAGACCAGGAGAAACAACCTAAAAAGTCACCCTCCACCTCTGCAGTGTGATGGCCCCTAATCCCTCCCTCCAGAACCCAGCTTGCCCCAACCGCTGTACGATGCCAAGGCCCAGCAGAAGGTCAACCATAGAACCTAGGCCCAAGCAGCTTCTGATCCAAAACGTGGCTCATGCTCAGCCCTTGGTCAAGGCTGCTGCATCCACAGTTGTGACCTTCATTCAGAGTTGTAGCCTTTGGTCATTGTTTACTGGACACCATGTGTCAGGCACTGTGCCAGAGCGAGGGAAAGAGGCAGTCCCTGCGCTCAGTGAACTGGATGGCAGGGAGCAGCACAGGAAGAGGGATGCCCATGCCACGTGCTGAGTGCTGTGCCTGACATCCTCACAGGGGCCACTGAGTGCCACAGAGAGGCTGGAACTAGGAAAATGTCCTGGAGATGAGGACCATGCAGGAAGGGCAAGGTGTTTGCATGGCAGGTGAGTAAAGGAAGGGGTCCAGGCTGAGGACACAGTAAGTGCAAAGGCTTTCAGGCTTGAGTGAGGCTGGGGGGGGGTTGAAGGAATCACCACCAGGTCAGCATTGCAAAGCTGTTCAGTGCCAGTGGATTTGGCAAAGCTGCGGTAGACAGGTGGGCAACTGTTAGGGTATACCGAGCCTTGTGTTCCATGCCTTTGGACTTCATCCTGAGGGCTTGGTGAACGCCTGTAGGGGTTGAAGTTGGGAGAACTTGCAACTAGATGGTTTCAGAAAGCTCACCCGGTTGCAGTGTGGAGGACAGACCAGAGAAGGCAGCTATGGAAGCAGGAGTCTATACATTTGGTAAAGAAGTTCACTAACTTCTGGACTGAAGAGGTGGCTGTGGGGGTCAGAAAAAGGCAATGGATTGTAGACATTTTGGCAGGAAAATGGCCAGGACTTGAAACCCATTTGGATGAGCAGTAAGGGTGAGTAAAGGGCCCAAGTCAACTTCAGGTTTTTAAGCCTGAGATCCCACCTTGGCTATGAGGCCTCTGGAGCAGCCTGGGCAGACTACCTCCACGTAGAGGCCGCTGCACCCTGGCTCTTTGACTTGTCTGTGCAGAGGCCTCTCCTCAGATCCCCATCCCCACGTTGTCTTTACATGCTCCTCTCTTGTGTTTGGAAAGACCCAATCACCTTGGCCATGGCTCTCTGAAGCCACGTGGGCCTGCGCTCCCCTTTCTCCCCCAACATAGCCTGAAGGTGCTGCCTGCCCGAAGATGGCATCAGACAGGAAAGGCTGAGCCCAATGCACCAATCCTTTAGGCAACCGGGCCTGCTGCTAACACAGCAGCTCAGGTGTGGGAACTGGAAATAGGCACCTCTCCATTTAAAAACGTCCCCTGAGGAGATCTAACTAGAGAAGGCAACTCTTCTGGCCTGGCACCAGGAGACCCTTGCACATGGGGCATGCGAGGGTATGTAGCATGTCTGGATTTCCTGGTGGCAGCTCCCCCAACCCTGCTCTGCCTTCTGGGTGGGATGCACCTCCCGGGGCTTGGCCCCACATCCCATACCCCAGCTTGGTTCTCAAAGCCTCTTTGTTCTACTGGGACAAGCTGTGGCCAGCCCAGACCTGATAAGGCTGAGTCAGGCCGATAGTATCCCCAAACCACACCCAGGCTGCCTTGTATACACACGGAACTCCCCTCAGATTGGCATAAATGCAGGATGCTTCCTGCCCAGGTTTGGGTCTGGAAGCCTTAACCTCTGTGCTGACCCTCCCTTTGTTCATTTAAGACCTCTCATCTGGATGGGGAAGCAGGCTAAGGGGATTACCCCCATAAGTCTCCAAGAGGAAAAATGACTCACCCGTTGTTATTTATTCCACAATCAGGAGCATCAATTGTGCTAGGTCTGCTATTTACAGCATCTTTTAAAATCCTAACTGCCTGCAAAGTGAGATTGTTCCTAATTCCTACTTTGCAGAAAGGTAAAGTCCAGAAGCCCAGAGTGGTGAAGTCACGTTCCCATGACGGCACAGTAGTGGAAACCAGAACCCAAGTCCTCTGCAGCAGCAATGGAGGGAGGTAGGAACTGATGAGTCAGCATCCCACAAAGATGGGAGGACGTCACTCCCACCATTAGCCTAAAAGATCTGATGAAGCTGGGGGTGGCCAAGAACCTGTGAGGGAAAGCGGTCTTGGAAGAATAATGTTCTAGACACCATGAGAAAATCTCATTTTGGTGGGAGTGGCAATGGTTAAAATAAGTCCTCAGTTATTTGAGCCTCCTCTCCCCTTGAATCTGGGCTGAGGCTAGGAAAGGCCATGTAGCTTCTTCCTGGTTCTACCCTGAGATTGTCAAGCTGAAGCAACTATAGATTGGCGTTCCCATCCACAGCCTAGTGAGTGCCCAGCTGATGGCCGGCACAAACTCTCAGCCATGTGAGGGCACCATCTTGGATGACCAGCCCCATGGAGCTTTTGGATGGCTGCAGCCTTGCCAATATCTGAATGCAACTGTATGAGAGACTCCAAGTGAGAGCTGCCTGGCCACACCCTTCCTAAATTCCTGACCCACAAATGCATAAGCAAAATAATGATTGTTTGGAACCTTGAAGTTTGGAATCATTTCTTATACAGCAATAGTAAACAGAACAAAGGGCAAAGAAGGAATAGGAACTGATGAAGGCATCTTCTAAGGCTTTCCAGGGCCTTTAATACACTTTTACACAAAAGCTTTTTAAAACGGAGCCTGCATGAGGGTGGAGGAGGTGTAGTGCCTCTTCATCTTCTAAAGGGGAAGCATGAGAAGGCACACTGACTAAACTTGGCGCAGACAGAGATGGAGACAAAGGGAAGAGTTGATAAGCACATCTCTTCACACTCAACTTATTGAAAAATGTTGTTTATGTATCTGTTCTGGTGGCAGGATCTTTCATGATAGCAAACTCTTGAAGGAATGAAGAGCTTTCTGGAAGGAAGGAAGCTCATGTATTTGGGCCAGTGGCCAGCAAGAACTTATACATGGCCAAGTAGGAGAAAATGTTATTAGAGATTTTTTTTTTAAAACCCAGTGTTAGAAGCTGAAGAAAGGGCTCAGAGATCAGGGACATGGAAAAGAGCTGGATATTCCTGTGGACGGTTGCTGGCCACATTTTCCCAGAGTACCCCCTGTCAACAGAAACTTGCAGGACCTGGACAAAAATGTCCATGAAAACAAACTAGAAGCACCCTGCTGCCCTATTAAACTCCAGGTGTATCTGCATCTGGCTTCTGTGCACACCTCCAAATGCCCAACTTAAGTAAATTCAGAGGAAAGTGATCAGGCATATAATGGGACATGGGTGTGGCTCTGGGGAGTAATTGGGGAGTGTAAGGGTGGAATGAAAGATTTCTTGGTTTTGAACCCATAATCCCAAAGAATCACAAAATGGGAATGATCAAAATCTAATAAAGATGGGGGAAATGCACATTTACAGTAGAGAATCCTGGCAGACACCACTTTAGCCAAGTGATCAAAGTTAACATCACCAATAAAACATATTGACATCATGTACTCTCTAATACAATGTACTGAGAAGGGCATATCACCTCTCTGTTATGCTTCTCAATAATGGACACCTCACTCTATTATAAGAAACTAGAGGCCCGGTGCATGAAATTCGTGCATGGGTAGGGTACCTAGGCCTGGCCAGTGATCAGGGCCAATCTGTGGAGTGACCGGCAGGGAGAT